CCCATACATCCCCCCATACACCCCCATACATCCCCCATACATTCCCGTACCTGCAGCAGCAGCAGCAGCCGCCCCCTGGCCAGGGCTGACAGCAGGTGGGTGAGGAGAGAGAACCCGGCCGGGGACACCCCCAGGGCACCCTATAGGGACCACAGACCCTATAAAGACCCTATAGAGACCCCCAGGGCACCCTATAGGGACCACAGACCCCATAGAGACCCTATATGGACCCTATAGAGACGCCCAGAGCGCCCTATAGGGACCAGAGACCCTGTAGAGACCCTATAGAGAACCCCAAGGCACCCTGGAGGCACCAGAGACCCTACAAAGACCCTACAGAGCCACAAAGACCTCACAGATCGCCAGGGTGCCCTGGGGACATGGTGGGGGGGTTAGGGACCCTATAGAGACTCTATAGAGACCCCATAGAAACCCAGAGACCCTATAGAGACCCCATAGAGACCCCAAAGACCCCACAGAAACCCCATAGAGCCCCAGAGACCCCACAGAGACCCCAGAAACCCCCAGGAAGCCCTGGGGACACCAGGTGGAGTAGAGACCCTATAGAGACCCTATAGAGACCCTATAGAGACCCCACAGAAACCCCACAGAAACCCCATAGAAACTCAGAGACCCCACAGAGACCCCCCAGCCCCCCCCGTACCCCCAAATCCTCCAGCGAAGCCTCGACCAGGACGAGCTGGGGCTGGAACTGAGGAGACACCATGGGGTCAGGGGCACGGGACCCCAAAATCCCCACAGGGACCCCAAACCCACAGGGACCTCAAATCCCCAAAGGGACCTCAAATCCCCCCCACAGGGACCCCAAACCCACGGGGTCAGGGGCACCACGGGACCCCAAACCTGCAGGGACCTCAAACCCCCCCACAGGGACCGCAAACCCACGGGGTCAGGGGCACGGGACCCCTAACCCAAACCTGCAGGGACCCCAAAAACCCCACAGGGACCCCAATACCCCACAGGCACCCCAAAACCCCACAGGGACCTCAAACCCCCCCACAGGGACCCCAAACCCACGGGATCAGGGGCACGGGACCCCAAACCCGCAGGGACCCCAAAATCCCCACAGGGAC